AACTCAAAATGCAAAAACATTTTCAAGAGGAACAGTTCGTAAGAGTAAAAAGATTGCACAGAAGAGATGGGGAGAGGGAAGTCTGAACAGAAACCCAATATAGAAAGTCCTCACTTAATGTCATCAAAAGATTCTTAGAACTGAGACGAAACAACATATAAAGAAAGAAATTAATTTTACCATAGGCTAATTGATATAAATAAGGGTTAAGTTCATATGGCATCTCATCAACATTATAACGAAACGCCATAGAACGAAAAGCTGTTATTTGAAGACTTACTGCATAACATATTATTAGCAAAAGAGCCAAAATAAAATGGCCCCCATTTTTTCTCAAATCAGTAGATGAAAGGTCTGAACGTTCATGGCCGTGACGGGATCACTGAGATTATCTGGCGCGACATTTCCTGAAGTCTGACCCACAGAATGGGATATGGTTTTATGAAAAGAGGGTATGAAGCTACCCAACTTCAGGACATTTACAATGCGATTTCCAAACCCTTGTAGGCCTCAATGCACATCAGCATATTAAAGGCTCTGAGAAGTCTTACAGTAAAGAAGTCAATTCACCTTTATTTAACCCTGTATTCCCCATGGAAGCTAAATTAACAGCCTACAGATCAAAGGTTGGGAAAGACTAACCTAGCCCAAGGTCACACAGCTGCTTGCAGGAGACTGAGACTGCTCAACTCTCCAGAGTCTTTTCCATTAGACGAAACACACACACACACACACACTACACAGATGATGGCTCACAATGTGAAAAAGGATGAGGAAAAAGGCCGTTGGATAGGCACTCCAGCAGGCAGTGTAAAACATGAGTCAAATGGTGGGAGTGAAGCAACCGAGAGTCCACGCCTGTGTAAAGGGGCACAGGCTACCCAGCTCCTGCCGAAAACTGCTGCTGCAAAATGCGGGAGCCGTGCGACCAGATCTTTTCTAGAGAAGTTCGAAATCTTCATTTCTATGTGAAATCATTCTAGTTTTACGTGTTGGCACTGTTGGGGCAGACACAGCATGCCTGCAGACCCACTGTGAACCTTCCCCAGCCCACGGGCCATCCATTTGAGAACTCTGGTCTGGGCAAATTTGTATCTACAAATGACTGGGGCTTCAGAGGAAACCGAAGTTTGATGATACACGTGGACTATCAGATTTTAAAAGAAAGATAAAGAAGTCTCAGTTGAACACAAGAAAAGCCTTAGAGGCACACATACTGTTCAGTTAGTGTCTACCTTTCAATACCAAATATGAGGTTCGGCACTTGCATTCAAGTGTGGCAACTCAAATGGACTCAGTCACATCACCAAAACCCTTTAACAAGGACTCGCTCGTTGCAGGGTACTCTACTGGGCCCTCGCAGACACAGAAGCAGCCCACAGACTTGCTGTAGACACTGGCTTTCTTCTAGTGTCTGAGAAAGCTGAAACAAATGTACATGCAGGATTAAGTCCCTAGAGAATGACTTGAGCTGCTCAACCACTGAACATGCATGAGATGATCTAAGTGGAGTATAACTTCAACTGGTTGAACATTCAGCACACTTGGCTTTATGAGTCAGAAACAGCATCTGTTAAGCAAGCAAAGGCAGTATCTCTCAGGGAGTACCCAATGGCCAGTGCACAGAGGCTTTTTCTTTGAAGGGAAGATACAAGTTCTCTTAAAGGAAATCGGGTGCTTGTACACAGCACTGCTGCCAAATCACCTCCTGCTCAGGCTCCCAGTGTCAACAGCAGCACTGGGAGACATTTTCCGGAGTACTGTGGAATTTCTGAGGCCCCTCACTTATCAATATTTCCACACACACAAAAAAGCACTGGTAAAGAATAGGTTCTAATGTTACTTTCTCTTGACTCTACAATGGCTCGATCACAATCACCTCGGTGCAGAATCAACAAAATGCTCAGTTCCACGAGGCACCAATGACACTGTATTCACGTGCACAGAATACTCTGGAGTTATGCAATACAGAGGCACTGACTGGGTCTAGATCAAAATAGAACCTTCAAGTCCTAAAAACATTAGCAGTTTGGCCAGGTAATTTCTTCTATTTAGTTGATACTGGTAGACAGTTGGCCGAGCTTATGGAAGGCTGCTAGGGATCTACTGTGGTGTAACACACTGTGGTGACACACTGCCTTGTTAACATGCAAGTGTGTGTGCACTTGATGACAGATGCTACTAAACCACCAGCAGTGGGCTTTCTGGAGACATTTTTCTGTTTGGAAAATGAAATAAAAAACTTGACAATCTCCATGCAGTCCCCTTATAAGCTAGACAGAGTCAGGGTAGAGATGCAGCCTAGCCATACAACAGGACGGCCTATTTTGGCTTTGAGTCCACATCCCAACCTTCCTAGGATCCTGCCTAAACAAGTTGAAGAAATAGTACTTTATTTTTGCGAACTTGCCAATGATGGGAGAACGGAACATGGTTTTTATTTATTTTTTTATCCTTACCCGAGGACATGTTTGCATTTTTATCTTCAGAGAGAGTGGGAGAGAGAGAGGGAGGAAGAGAGAGAAGCATCGATGTGTGTGAGTGGTTGCCACCCACATGACCCCAAGGAAGGCCGGGGACAAACCACAACCGAGGTACGCGCCCTTAGCGGGAACCGGGCCCAAGACTCTCTGGTCCACAGGCCAATGCTCTAACCGCTGAGCCAAACCGGCCAGGGCTGGAAAATTGTTAGTATTAGATAGTCATCAATGAGACTCAATCAGATCACGTTTCTACACCTGTGTACCTCCCTACAGAATGGCAGGATTATCCATTTGTGCCAAATACTAACAGCAATGACTGGTTCCCTTTGGTGGAAAAAATTCAAAGGCTATACAAGAAGACTTCTAGATTCTAGGAGGGAAGCTAAGGAGATTAGGTGCTGGACTCCAAATACCAGATTTAATAGAAACTGCAGGTTCAAATCCCAGTAGGATCAACTCAGATGCTATTATGATCTTCTAAATAAATTGAGCACCAGAGAGCTTCCTGCTCTCTGACAAACTGATGAGAGCCTTATAGACTGCTGCTGGTGTTTATGAGGACACATAAAAAGGGGGAAAGCTTTGCAAGCATTTAAATAAATACACTGTCTTTTACTTCGTTACTGTTGGGGGAAAACAGTAATGTCCCTGCAACATAATGTGCATACAACGGAGGAGAACCACCATTATCCAGATGCCCAAATAATATGAGATCCTTTCAGGTAAGATTTACTATCAGCATACAATAGTTCAGACTTCTAACATTCCATTCTTGCCCAGTGCAAATCTATAAATAAACCTAAAATTGCCCACAAACCTGTTTTGTTTTGTTTTTTCCTTTAGTTTTTAAAGGCCATCAAATCCTTGGAGATAGTATCGACCTCCAGCAGTTAGTATTCAGAAGTGATACACTTACAGCAGTGTCTCCATTGGGCTTATTACTGCTCCAGTCAATGGTGCATTTCAGAGCTGGGAACATTTCCAATGAAGTTTTCTCTGCTAGTAGTAAACACCACTGCTTCAACAATCCACATTAGGTCAGCATTTAACAGAGGGTCTCCCTCCCTCTTGAGCAGGTTGTCCAAGAATATGAGTTCAACCACTGGCTCAAGAGAAGCGGAAAGTCTTCTCAATGGTTCAAAATTCATTTTATGTTCAACTAGAGGCCTTCTGCAAACTGAGGATCTGAGCTCAGACTATAATTCTTCCTGGACACAGAAGGCCAACAAGGTGATTGTCACACATCAGCACAGACTGAAAGCCATTACATATTAGTAGCCAGTGAGAAACAAGGTTCAGGACCCTGTACTGTAGAGGAGAGCAGTGTAACACGCCGGCAAGCAGAGTGGTGGAAGGGGAGCTGGATGGCATGTTCATCCATTACAGCCACTGGTTGGCTCTGAAGTCTAAGGAAGATGGATACTCACTACTGTACTGGTTGGTGCCTAGGCAGTAAGTGACAAGTCATCGGATAAGATTTTAGGTGGAACCACAGGTTTGGAAAGTTCTGGGATCCAACATAATGTCTATAGAAGCATCAGTATTAAATTGAAAAGTCAGTATCTGGGAAACAGGTAGGGTTCCCTCCCCTGGAATACTGGAAAGAGATGTAAAGACCATATCTTCAAGCGACCGAGTGGATCTTCTAATACAATGAGTCCTGTGGCTTTCTGTTAGGAATCAAGCAGTCATTAGTTACAGCCCAACTTTTAAAATATCAGTCAGCACGCCTACAATTAAATAAGAAGAGACGATGAATACAAGACACTCAGCAGAAGTGTGTTAGAGCTAACTTGTAAGTTTTACACACAACACAAGGATGTGTTCTGTTCAAAGCACCATGCCAGAACCCCATATGGCAGGCCAGATATTCATTCTCCAAGGAAGCTTGTAACCTCCTAAAAATCAGTTTATTTAACTCTGACAAAATGAACGACTGTCAGATGGTAAAGTTTCATTGTTGGGATGAGTCCGTATCACATTCTCCCCGAGAGAGGAAAAACTGCCCATAAAAGAGTTTTTATGTCTGGTGGACCACCCACACCTACTTTAACACTCTTCTCTTCCCTCTCCAAGTGTACCCTCAAAAGTAAAGGCCGAAGACGAAGTTTTCCAAGCATCAAGAAGCTACTGGGCCTAACACAACCGCCTTCTGTCTATACCTGGATCCTCCCCGTCAGCTCCCCAGCCCCCTCCCCTCGCGAACCTCGGAACCCCACACTGGCTGCCCTGAAGGTCCAGCTCCGGCCTCACGTGATGGGGCCAGGCGTCCTGGGCAAAGCCTTTCCCAGAGGCTGCAGGCACCTGGGAGACCCGCCCGACAGGCTGGGCCTGGGCCTCGCGGTGGCGCCTCATCCCTCGGCTCCTCCCGGCTGCAGGAGCCCCAAGGAACCGCCAACCCCGGCTGCGGCGTCAGCCGAGCTGCCTCCCGCCCCAGGCCCGACCCCTCCTCTCCATCGGGCTCGGCCCGGCCCCGCCTTGGGCTCCTGTGCTCCCGCCAGCCGGCCGCGCCCGTACCTGCCGGACCCGGTGCAGGGCGTCCACGAAGCCCTCGGCCTTCATCCCCACGGGAGCGCTCTGCCCCTGCACCAGCTCCGCCATTACCGCCCCCGCCGCCGCTCGGCTCCACGGTCCGGCCACCCCCTCCGCTCGGGGACCCGTAGCCGGAAAGGGAAAGTCGCCCCACTTCCGGCGGAAGGGAAGACGGGATACTCGACGCGAGAGAAGCCGCGTCTGCCGGACCGGTCAGGACACGTGACTGCGGTCCGGCCGGAAGTGGGGGGCGGGGCCGCGGGGGCGGGCCCAACGCGCGAGGCCGCCGTCGGGTCTCGAAGGACAGGTCTTGGCCCCGCCCCTTTTAGACGTGATTTGGTCCAGGTTGGGCGATGCTGCGGTGACGGGCCCCTGGGGCTCGGAGGTGGCCCGCGGAGGCGGGCTGTCTGCGTTTGGAAACCGAGAGAGGAGTGACGTGGCCCTCCCAGGACGGCACCCGAGCTCTGGTCCCCGAGAGCCTGACCCTGGCAGCCCTCCCAGGAATGGTCATTGGTGCGGGATACTGGGGCTGAGCGCTTTGGAGGAGCACGTGAGGACCCCGAGGGAGGCTGGAGGGCGAAGGACAGCACCACACAAGGCAGTGCCCCGTGTTTGCAGGGAGTCCCGGCCCTGGGCTCGCACCGTAACCGTTTGCTCCAGGATGGGCCCACAGCGCACCTGCGGTTGCCTAGCGACACCGCCCAGGAGGACACGCCCCCTGGAAAATCGGCAGGGCGTCCTCTTACGCATTCCTTACCCTGGGGCTCTGTGGAAGCCGGAAATGCCCCAGGACCACCTTTGCTTCCGTGCCTGTTGAGTCCAGACTGACCGCATTGCTAGAGGGCTTCTTGGAATTAACTTGTCTTTCGTGGTAGTAGCTAGCTATAGGCATTTCAAAGCAAGGAAAGGAGTCTTAGTGCTGAGACACACTTGAGCCTTTGAGGTGGGTGGATCTTAGAAATGGGCAAACAAAACCCCCAGAAAAGAAAAAGGCTAAGAGGCGTCTAAACACATTTTGTTGGAGGCCGGGAGTTGGATTTTAATGAAGAGTCATGTTGTCAAGCATTTTATGCCCAACCTGAAGTTATGAAGGCAGATAAGCTCTGAGAAAGGGAAATAAAGGAATAAAATCCCTTGTATCAACATGCTAAGCCAATAACTGGCTGATCATCACGAGCAGTTCTTCATTTGTTAATGACTTCACTGCTAGACTGTGAATTCCTTAGGAGCAGAGACTGAGTTTTATTTCCCTGTCTCCCTAGAGTTTAGCACATAGTTGGTGGGTAGGAAACTTCTTTAGAATTGAATAATGCCAAGTTAGAATAATTCCTAGATTCTGGGAAAATAAAAGAATTCGGCAAAATGGCAACATTGAGATGATCACTTTCAGGAAATGTTTCAGCCTATGTAGGAAAGCAGGCTGTGTTACTGTGCTATTGTGAGGCAGGACCAACATCTGCCAACACATCTGTTTGTGGCCCAGTCTGGGTGCGTTGATTGTTTCAACTTTGCTATGCCTGTGAAAAATCAATGTGTCAGGCTTCAGGAAGAGGAAGATCGCCCAGACCCCTTCAAGTCTGCTGTTATATGTTCTACTAACACCCTGGACTTTATCATCTTAATATTTATCACAACTGCTTTTAAGTCACCATGTAATTATTTATTATTATTTATATAAAACCTCTCCTGAGACAGGGACCATGTTTGCCTTTATCATTGCTCTCCCTAGCACCCAGCACAATGCCTGGCATTTTGTTGGCACTAATCAATTTTGAGTTAACTTTAAGATGTGCAGTATAGGTCAAATTAATTTTATTTTTGTGAGAATATTCCATTGTTTCTGCACTAATCGTAAAAGGGATGAGCCTTTCTCCATGGAATTGCCTTTGTATTTTTGTCAAAAAATAATCAATCATGCCCTGGCCGGTTTGGCTCAGTGGTTAGAGTGTCGGCCTGCGGTCCAGAGAGACCCAGGTTCGGTTCCCGCTAAGGGCACGTACCTCAGTTGCAGTTTGTCCCTGACCCTGGTTGGGTCGTGCGGGTGGCCACCACTCGATGTGTCCCTTTCACATTGATGTTTCTCTCTCTCTCTCTCTCCCTCCCACTCTATCGGAACAAAAAATGGAAAAATGTCCTCGGGTGAGGATTTAAAAAAAAAAAAAATCAATCACATAGGTGCAGGTCTGTTTCTGTACTCTTCATTGATATATATGCCTGTCTTTTCACCAACACCTTGCTGTCTTGATTACTGTAGTTTTATAGTAAATCTTAAAATTAGGTAGCATATGCCCTGGCCGGTTTGGCTCAGCGGTTAGAGTGTCGGCCTGCGGTCCGGAGAGGCCCGGGTTCGGTTCCCGCTAAGGGCATGTACCTCGGTTGCAATTTGTCCCCGGCCCTGGTTGGTCTTGCGGGTGGCAGCCACTCGATGTGTCCCTTCACGTCGATGTTTCCCTCTCTCTCTCTTCCTCTCTCTCCCTCCCACTGTCTGTACAAAAAATGGAAAAATGTCCTCGGATGAGGATTTAAAAAAAAAAAAAAAAAAAAATTAGGTAGCATAAGTCCTCCAACTTTATTCTTTATCAAAATTGTTTTGGTTAATTAAGCTCCCTTGTCTTAGCAAAAAATTAGCTGTTGATACCTACAAAAAATCATATTGAGATTGTGTTGAATCTACAGATCAGTTTGGGGAAAATTGTTATCTTAACAATAGCAAGTCATCCAATCCATTAACAGTGTATATCTCTGTATTTTCTTTGATTTCTTTCACCAGTGTTTTGTCGTTTTCAGGGTAAAGATCCTGAACATATTTTGTTAAATATAGACCTAAATTTTTCATGGGTTTTGTTTTTTTTTCCTGCTATTGTAAATGATACTCTTTTAAAATTTTGATTTTCAATTGTTCATTACTGGTATATAGATACTGGTTTTTTAATATTAACCTTTTATCCTCAAGCTTTGTTAAACTCACATTACTTCTAGTGGATTTTTGGGGTAGATTTCTTGAGCTTTTCTATGTTGACAATTATGTCATCTGCAAATAGAGATAGTTTTATTTATTTATTTCCTATTTGCATGTTGTTACTACTTTTTCCTTGCCTATTGTACTAGCTGGACCTCCAGTACAATATCAGATAGGAATGGTGAGAATGGACATCCTTGAAATGTCTCTGATCTCAAGGGGATGGCATTCAGTCTTTTACCATTATGGATGACATTAGCTGTACATTTTTTGTAGCTATCCTTTATCAAGTTAATCAAGAGGCTTCTAAACACATTTTGTTGGAGGCCAGTGTGGCCCCTTCTATTCCTAATTAGCTGAGAATTGTTTATCATGAATGAGTGTTGAATGTTATCAAATGCTTTTTACACATTTGAGATGATGATACGGGTTTTATTTTGTAGTCTATTCGTATGATGAAGTATATTGATTGATTTGCAAATGTTGAATCAACCTTTCTTTCCCGTAATAAACCCTACTGACTCATGATGACTATCCCTTTTGCTGTATTTTATCCTTTCTGTTGGATTCAATTTTGCTAATATTTTGTTGAGCGTTTTGCATTTATAAAAGATATTGGTCTGTAGTTTTCTTTACTTGTAATTGTCTGGCTTGGTATCAGGGTAATGCTGGCCTCATACAATGAGTTAGAAAGTATTGCCTTTCTGCCAGTTTCAGGAAGAGCTTATGTGCAGTCGGTCGTATTCCTTAAACGTTTTATAGAATTTGCTAGGGAAGTCATCTGAGCCTAAAAGTCTTTGTTTGTGTTTGTGCTTGTGTTGTTGTTGTCATCGTTTGAAGGTTTTAGCTATGAATTTTTTAAAAATCCAATCTGACAATCTCTGCCTTTTAATTGGTGTGCTTAGATCATTACATATAATGTAATTATTGATTTGGCTTAACTTAGATTACTGTTTGTTATCTGTTTGTCTCTTGTTTTTTATCACTTGTTTCCCTTTTCTGCCTTATTTTTTGGACTATTTGAAAATTTTTTAGTATTTTAATTTACCTATTGGCTTTTGTCTATATTCTTTTGTATGTTTTTTTTTTTTTAGTAGTTGCTCTTTTGTGTATATACTTTTATTTATTTTTTTATCCTCACCCGAGGACGTTTTTCCATTTTTTGTTCAGAGAGAGTGGGAGGGAGAGAGAGAGAGAGAGAAACATCAATGTGAAAGGGACACATCGAGTGGCTGCCACCCGCATGACCAACCAGGGCTGGGGACAAATTGCAACCGAGGTACGTGCCCTTAGCAGGAACCGAACCCAGGTCTCTCTGGACCGTAGGCTAACGCTCTAACCGCTGAGCCAAACTGGCCAGGGCTAAAATGGTAGTTTTAATGTTGTATGTATTTTCACATTTTTAACTCATTAGATCTCAAAAAATAAAAATTCTATCAGCAAGGCTGAGTAGCAAGAACTTGTCTCCAGCTGGTGGAGATAAGTACCTCGGTTACAGTTTGTCCCCGGCCCTGGTTCGGTTGTACGGGTGGCAGCCACTCCATGTGTCCCTTTCACGTCGATGTTTCTCTCTCCCTCTCCCTCTTCCTCTCCCTCTCCCTCTCTCCCTCCTACTCTATCTGAACAAAAAATAGAAAAATGTCCTCAGGTGAGAATAACAAAAAAAAAGAAAACTACCATTTTAACCATATAGTTCAGTGGCATTACATGCATCCAGATTGCTGTGTAACCATCACCACCATCCATCTCCAGAACTTCGTCTTTCCAAAATGAAACTGTCCACGTTAAAAATGAACTCCCTGTTCTCCCTCTCCTAGGCCCTGGCAGCCACCGTTCTACTCCTCCCTGTCTCTGAATCTGACTGCTCTAGGGACCTCCTATCAGTGGGCTGTACACTATGTATCCCTTTGTAACTGGCTATTTTCACTCAGCATAATGTCTTCAAGTTCCATCCATGTTGCAGCATGTGTCAGAATGTCCTTTTTTTTAAATCCTCATCCGAGGACTTTTTTCCATTTTTTGTTCAGATAGAGTGGGAGGGAGGGAGAGAGAGAGAGAGAGAAAGAGAGAGAAACATTGACGTGAAAGGAACACATTGAGTGGCTGCCACCCACACAACCCAACCAGGGCCGGGGACAAACTGCAACCGAGGTACC